AAAAAGTATGCAAACTTTTGGCGGGAAGGCGATCTCGGGAACCACATGAGCTGAGGGGCCGAAACTTTGTAGGACTATTCCCTACGCATGTACGAGCTAAAGGTTTCAAACTCAGCTCCCAGGTGTGCATGGTATTCATGTAAGAGCGTATGAAAGTTTTAGGGTGAAAATTCCTAACTCGGGTACCTGGAAAGCTAGAAAGCTCAAACTTTGAGGGAATGTTCCCTACCCAAGCACTACTCAAATATTTCAAATTCAGCCCCCTGGTGTGCATGGTACTCACGTAAGGGCGTATGAAATTTTTAGGGAGAAAATTGCTAACTCGGGTACCAGGAACGCTAGAAAGCTGAAATTTTGGGAGAATGTTCCCCATCCAAGTACAACTCAACTTTTTCAAACTCAGCCCCAAACTGTGAGCTGTACTCACGTAAGTGCGTATGGAAGTTTCTGCAGTAAAATTACTAATTCGGCAAACAGAAGAGCTGGAAGGCTAAAATTTTAAGGGGATATTCTCTGTCCAAGTGTAATTTAAAAATTTCAGATTCAACTTCCCAGACACGCGGAGTACCCACGTACAGGTATGCGAATGTTTTGGCGGGAAAATCGCTAACCCGGTAATCAGAAAAGCTGGAAAGCTGAAATTTTGAGAGGATGTTCCCTGTCCAAGTGCAGTTTAAGTATTTCAGATCCAGCTTGAGGTGTGCATGGTTCTTACGTTCGGTCACTCAAAAATCTTGGCGAAAAAATTTCTTACTAAACAACCTAGGTTACTTTTAAAGAATGACTGTTAAATGGAAAATTACTTTGCAAAAATTTATGGTGATTTACGCTAGTGACCGCAACAGGTAGGTGTAAAGCAAAGCCATTCATGCAGTCAGTAACCTGAGTACTTCAAGTCCGGTGCAAAAACGCATGATCGCACGGTGCGTTCCAGCCTGGGTTGCATTTGCATATAAGCAAAAACGCATAAATAGCAAATTGTTTGGTTGCTACCTGCATAATCGATGCAATCGATCTCACTTCTGAAGAGTAGTCGAATACTGCC